GCCACTGTGGATTGTTTATAAGTTTAGCTAGATGCCAACTTAAACTATTAATCTACTTTGAACAGTTCCTCTGATATTCTTGATATTGTTGTTGATGTGGCCTACAACGCATCAAAAGAAGACTAAGAATATCTTTGTAATTTGGGTTTATAAACTTTAAGGTCATTTTCAGTCTGCAACTTCATCCTAATTCAATTACTACAACTTACAAATCTGAGAATAGATCAAAGATTCAATCTTAAATCACAATTCAATTCCCACTTCCTCCTCCCAGCAACAAATAAAATGTTAGAATTTAAAAAAACTCCCAATCATCAAAATCATATAAAGAAGGTACCTTACACAAAACCACAAAAGTCGAAATTAATTATTTATGTCATTTTATGATAATTGCTTAAAACAATTTGATTTTATCTTAATACAAAATCTCCCTCAAAGCAGTCAATCTACATCAACCAAATTAACTCGTGTCTAATTTTTCTTGTTACTTAAACTTTTATTTAATTACTTAAACTCTTTTTTATTAGTTCCCTAATGTTTTCTTTATCGATCGACTACACAATGCAAAATGCCTTTATTTTTTATAAATTAAGATTTCAATAACAAGTTTACAACAACAGTCGGTGCAAAGTGAAACGAATGAATAACATCCAAATGTTGATCATACACATGTGTATACAGCCATGCACTGCACTAAAGTTATGAAAGGTTAATAATATTTTTATTGTCAATTTGCTGAAAGACAATGTAATTTTAATGTGTTTTTCACTCTTTGGGGGCGTCATTGAGTGACGTCTATTGAGATTTTGGTGCTTTGAGGTCAGAATTGTCTTGTCCTTAGTCTATTCTCACTTATGAATGTTTAATAGCTTCTAACCCCTTCTACAAAATGCAAGCGTATTACGTCACTCTCGGATAACCCCCACGACTATATCCAACAAAAAAAATATATAATATTATTATGAATTAATGGTTCACGATCGTTTTAATCGCTAAATAACGAGAAAATTTATTTACTTGCTGCCACTTGCCGTCGGGTTGTCAAGTGAACTATTAAAATGTTAGTTGTAGATAATTTTGTATCACAGAAGCTGTTAACAGTGTAATGTGATGTGACTATACTTAGTTTTCGACACTCTCAAACTGCAACAACCGGCTTATAATTGTGAATTACATGAAACTGGATGGATTAAAATTCCACAGAATTTAAATAATATTATTTTTAAAAAAAATAAATATACAGCATGTTAGCGACGACATCAATCTTTCTCACTTTTCTCATCCAATCGAATCAGGTGTCAATTGCTCAATTATATAGCGCATGTAGTTGCGCTCAGGCCACTCCAAACATGCAAATTCAACTGTCAATCAAGCGAGAAATGAGAGAAAATCGAGAGCATTAAGAAGGCGAAAATGAAGCAGGCTGAATATTTATAAATTAGAGATATTATGTGTCAAGTTATGTGACATGGGATAGGAAACTTTGAATCAAAATTTGAAATTTTTTTGAGATTGTTGACTTAGGTTTTGATGCTGAAACTTTGAAGGCTGAAAAACTGGAAAACTAAAGTAGTAGCTACTCAGTTTAGATTTATTTTGGCGTAGTTTGAGGCCCCTTGGATCTGAAGATGATGTAATTTTGGAGTTTAAATTAAAATGAGACTGTATCTAAGGACTTCATTAGGAATTGAACCATCTACATGTTTTTATGATTGCTATCTAGCTCTACATTTTGACAACCTAGTCAACCTAGTAAACTAGTAAGAACACTACTTAGTAAACTTAGAACACTACTAAGTACACTACTTAGTAAATCTAGGACACTACGAATTACACTACTAAGTGCTAACCTAGAAAACTAGCCGTAGATAAAACAGTTTCCAATCCTCACTCTGAACTGATCCAATTTCATTCATTTTTGCATCACTCTGAAATTTCAATTTAAAAACTTTATTTTAAAAAAACTGAAACAATTTTTATTTTTTTTTATTTATTTAAAGCATGAACATTGCGTCATTCTTTATTTATTTATTGAAATATATGTTTTTTTTTTGATCTAATAAAAAAATTGATTTTCTTTCCTTCTCTCATTTTGATATCTTTCAATCAAAAAAATAAACTTTTTTAAGGCTAATAAGCTATATTATTAATGTCTATTTATCATCATCATTACAACTAATAATGAAGCGAATGTTTTTTTTTTCTTGTTGAAATATACTAATTAAGTGCTAATATGCAAAATATAAAAAATATGTTTTTTTTTTTCTTATAAAAATTAATATTAATTCTTTACAATATAATAAGATCTTTTAAATGAATTTTATTAGATCTATAAGGCGGCTTAAGCTTATATTCACATGTACTTATTTTAATAAATTTTTGTTTGTTGATTTGTTAACAGAATTGTTATTTCCAAATTGGTAAGGAGATTAATGTGTGGAGAATATATTTTATTCTCGTGCAAATTGTGGAAGTACTAATAAGAGCATGATTTATTGGGGATAATAGAGGATATTCAGAAAAAATTTCTTAAGGTTTGAAATCAGAGCTGGAATGTCAATGCAAATGAGAAACTTAGATGTATGAGTTGAGGTTTATTATAGTGATTTTGCAAGTATGAAGGGAAAAGTCTTTATGGTCAAAGGGTTTAGATATCAGAAATTTTAGAATAATTCTTACTTGGAAGGAGCTCAGGTTCGATTCTTACGAAAAACCAAAATTCAACAAACTGGTAAGTTCGATTCTCAAAAGGAACTACAATTTGAAAATAATATTATAAGCAATAAAATGATTTGAGTGCCAGCCTAATTACTTCAAGTGCTACTTAAGCTTCTTTATAGCTCGAAAACTAGTACACAGTACATGAAAAGCTGTTCTTGTTAGAACAAGCCTCAAATCTGCCTAGTAGTTCCTTGTTCATTATGTACATATCTATGATAACATTAACACGTAGAAAACTTCGATAAAACTTGAAATCCAATGCTTATAACTCTAGTCAGGGCTACTCATTCTAAATACATGTGTAGAAGTTGTTGTATCCCCTAACCTTGATCTCCAATCTTAGTGCTCTTAATTCCAAATAAATTCGAAAACACCTCTGAATCCACAAATAAACTTAAATTCCTTTGAATGCCATTGAAGTAAACCTCCCAATACCGAAAAAAAGAGAATTCCTGGAAATAACAATTCAGTCGCATTTATGATAATTAAATATGAAGCAAGAAAAAGGAAAGGCAAGAAAGCAAAAAAAAATAAATAAATATTGAAAGGTGAAGAAAGGCAAAGAAGGTGATAAAACCATGATGGAAACATGAAAAGTGATTTAGAGGTGAAAAAGGCACATCCGATTGTATTCCAAGACTTAAAAGAGTAAATTAAATTCGCGCTATTAAAAAAAGAGAAGTAACGCGACGCGACTAAGGTATCATCAATAAATATTCAATAAATTACATAAAAACGATCATAAATTTCCTCATTGGATAATAAAAGGGAATATCTCTTTGAGTTTTGAGGCACCACAATAAAAAAAAAATAAATTAAAGAACAGAATTGATAAGAATTTTTTTTATTCTCATCCTTTAACAAAGCAATTAAAGGAACGTATATGAATATTTTTTTTATGTGCTTTGTCCATTTCATTTTCATATTTTTATTTTATTTAATTGAAATTTTATCTTTTTCTTCGCTTATAATGAAATGAATAAGGTTCTTATGACACATTTAATCTAAATTATTTGTGATGATCGCATTTGGAATGAATGTGTGATGTGCATGGAATTTATGAGACTTAATAAATTTCCTTTTAATTTGATTTAAATTTTATTGAATAAAGATTGGCTAATTAAGATAGAATTGTCTGTTCGGGATGTTTAGTTTATTTAAGGGCCTTTGAATTTTTGAAAACATTTTTTTTGGAAGGAATTTTAAACATTTTCTGTTTTTAAATTTTCAAAAACCGTTAAAAGTTTTAAAAATATTTTAAAGGCATAGATGCCAAAAATCACTTCCCATGAACTTCCCACACATGATAAATGTACTTAAATACTTCAATTGGTCATGTATTGATTAAAAACTATAAAAATATGTCATAATTTTATTCACAAGTGATAAAATGATATGTTTGTGTATTACTGCTTATTAATACAATTATTATGGCATACAAGATTTACCTACATTTCATATTTAAACTTCTTTTCTTATCTCATTTTATGACACAACAAAAAATCACAATTTAAAAAAAAGTTATTATTTAAAAAAAAACATTGAAATGTCACGAGTGAGCTCTCTTGTCTGACTGACACTAAAGTATTTTATGTGTAAAAAATTAAAATATTTCTCAAAAGAGTAAAAATATTGGTGAAATAAAAAAAATACTTAATCTACGGCTTTATGTACAATTTTTATATATTTCTTCATCATATAATAATCTTGCAAAAAATTATTGTTGAAGTGTGATTGTGAAATTATCAAGTTTTACTATGTAAGGTGGAATGTGAGTGATTTTTGAGGCAAGGGTTGGTCACTTTAACCTTCAAATTTAAGAAAGGAAAAAATTTAAAATTTGTTAAATTGTTCAAAAAAATAAAAAAGTCAAAAAAATAAATTTTCAAAAAGTTACCAACCCCTGACCCCAACTTAACCTCACACTGCACCTTTCATTTTCATTTTTCTCCTAACTAATATGACACATTCAGAATAAATATCCATTTTTCAATTTATAATACAAAAGGATTTCGTTAACCTTAAAAGAAATTTAAACTGGGTACTTATAAGCTACAATTGACTGGATGGATGTATGATGGGAATAAAGTGGGATACTTATCATTTTTTATACAGAAAACAGGAAAAAAAAGAATCTTATAAAGTAACTTAAAAATAATGAATTTTTACAATTTAAATATTTTTTTCAAAAAAAAGTTGATTTTAAAAAAATTGTTGAAAGAATTTTTTAATGGAAATGCTTAAAATCCCCTCAACATTTTGAGACTTATTTGATTATGTCATGATAAATACATTTCAAGTGAATGGTGTTCACTGAAGCTGCCATGTAGTAGATCGTTTATAGAGTTGAAGGCATCAAGGTTGCTTAGCGGACTCAGACATGGCTCCGATAAATGTAATGATTCACCATCCGATTCTAAAAGCAGGCCAAATTCTAGAGGACTAAAGCATGGCTCAGAAAGTTGCAACGATTCACCGTCAGACTCAAGAATAAGCCCAAGTTCCGATGGACAATCGTCATTAGGTGGGGTGAGACATGGACTTAAGTCATATTTACTAAGACAATTCAAGCTATTGTTGTTAATTCCATTTCCATTAATCATTGTCGTGCTACTGCTATGATTGAAGTTGCCACCAAGTAAGTGATTAATAAACTTACTCTCACTACTCATATTGCTACCGTGATTATTACTATGAATTCCAATCGATTGATTTCGAATTGTCAGAACGGATGGATTAGATGCAATTGCAGCTGCAGTCAACATCGCTTGACTCTTCAAATTAATCTTTTGCGACTTTGAATGTGATTTTGATGGTGGCTTTTTCGTTTTTGCGGCATTGGCTTTCACAGCTTTCCTACTACTTGCCGCGGCAACAACTTTTGATGACTTTACAGGCTTCACAATAGTTTCACGGATAAATTCTTTACAGTAATCATGGTGATTTTGTGCCAACACGTTAGATATTTGTGGCTGTTGCTGGAGTTTCTCTTTGCAAGTCTTACTTTGATTGCTGTTTAGAGTCACGACAGGGGCAGGCGGTGTAACCTGATCTTTCTTACCATCAACTTCCATTAGTGATGCCAATAAATTGTCATTTAATTCTGCTTTATTGTCAAGAATGTCACTAAGGATTGTTATATACTTCATTGCCATCCTTAAAGTTGTAATTTTGGTAAGTTTCTCATTGGTACTTTGTGATGGTGATCCAGCCACAACAACAGGCACAGATTGTCTCAAATTCTCAAATGCTGAATTAATTTCACGCATTCGTGTTCGTTCACGTGCATTTGCTGTTTTTCGTCGATATTTCGATAGCGGTGCTGCCCTTTGTTTTGGTTTCTCTTTTGGAATTTTCTCTGACACCGTCACACTTGACGATGCTGTTGTGGCTGATAATGTTGTTGCATCAACCTCATCACATGAGCTATTCTTATTATTACTTATTTTATTTCTACTATTTTTACTACGTCTGTTACTATTATTATTTATATTTTGATCATTTATGTACGATGCTGTCTTTAAGTGCTTATTGGTAATCGATTTACGCTGGCCACGTTGTCGTAATGAATATTTTTCATTTTTCTTTATCGACAGATTATTATTGCTGCTATTCTCGTTGTTATTATTTTGATCTGATTCCATTGTTGTTACATCGGGTGATTGATCAATCGTTATTATTGACTGCATTATATCGTTATTATTATTTTTATGGTGCATCTCGTTCCTTAATGCGCTTTACTTGGCTTCGAGGATTTTTCTTCTCTTTCTTCTGCTGCAATTTATCTGACTTTTCTGGGATGCAATTTCTCTTCTTTATATCTCTTCTACTTCAGCTTCTGTACTTGATATTGAATATGTATATTGATATTGCTTATAGCTGCCGTTATTAACTGTGAAATAAGAATAATAAAAATTGATTTTTAATTCTCAATGCATAAAGGAATAAAGCTTTTGAATGATGCAATTTTTTATCATTGTCATTCTTTTGCGAGAGATTAATTCAATTGGAAGACGTTATCAATTAAAAAAGATGTCTTCGAGGGGATTCATGAATGAGTTATAGATTTTTTTAATCTCTTTCTTGTCCTGGATTTACTCGATTATCTGCAATGGTCTTAAATTTAATTGATTGCGTTTTGTGTTTAAGGAAAGTCAAGAATTGAATTAAAAGTCAGAACTTAAAGTTGAATTTTTAAAATTTGAACATTGAAATTCGAATATCGAAAATTTGGTTATCAAAATTTCGAATATCGAATATAATTTCGAAAAAAATTAAATTGAAAATAATTTCGAAAATTTTCAAACTTGATTTCAAAAGTATGCGAATTAAAGATAATTCGAAAAAAAAACATTTTCGAACATGAAAACTCAAATTTCGAAAATAATCAATCAAAAAATTCAAACAATCCAAGTTCATCATTCGCACAACAATCTCAAAAATTCAATAATTATTTTGCCTGACCTATCCAAACTTACTCAACATTTTCTCAATCACCTCAACCGTTAAGTGTCAAACGAGCGATACGCGCTTTGTAGGACACCGAAAAAAAAAATTAAAATTAATATTGAGTGCAAAAATATTTGATTAATGACAATATTTATGAAATTTAATGCTTTTTTTTGTTCACAATCAATTAACATCAGTTTTCAATTTCTCTTTGTTGGAAATATTTGCAATACAATTTTTCTACCTGCATTCATCCATCTATTTCAATACAAAAGTCAATACTTCATAATGATAAATCACAATATTATGCAAATAAAAGTTAAATTGAAAGTGACATGAGTCAAAGATATAGACAGATATGTACGTACATGCAAGAAGATTGAAAATTGAAAGACAGAAAGTGAAACATGAAGATGAAAAATTATTCAAAGGCAGAGAAAGAGAGATTAAGGCATTAAAAGGTTCGTATGGAGTTAATGAACTAGAGCGCACTAAGTGTCTGAAGAATTTTGGTGAAAAATAACTGTCAAAAAATATTTAAAAAATAACTGTCAAAAATATTTGAACAATAACTTCGGTAAAATTTTTGAATTTTTAAAGTGTTATTGACAGTCGGTCAAACATTGTCAAAAACCTAATTGTTTCCCATTTTAATATTTCAGCTAAAACTTATGCTCCGCAAAATCACGATGTGTATGCATAAATATCATGCAGTGTGAGAGAGACAAACTTTCGATTTTACACATTATGACATTCAATAGCCACCGTAAAAATGCACAAGAAAAGATTTGAGCATGCATCAAATTGCAAGAGTTGAGAGGGAATAATAGGCGCAAAATATATGATAGCACATCGTGATGCGCATTAACATAAATTGCTTTCAAATCAATGCATTATGTATTTCATGGGGTCGAAACATACGTCAGAGCGTATAAATGCTCAGTGTAATGTGTGATCATAAATAATAAATAAATGAGTGAGACGAGTAAGCTTCAATTATCGCGCTGGTAATGCTATTAATATTAAGCATTAAGGAAAGAAGAGGAGAATATATATCTGTCGAATCCGTGTTGGAATGCACTTAAGAAGCGAACAGCACAACACAAAAAAAAATCTCATGACATTCAAAATTTAAATAAATTTTCGCGCCTCCTCGTTTCTGCAGTTTTTGGCACATAATTAAATTAGTCGACGACAATTCTCAGCCGAGAAGAAATCATCCTCTCATTTAATTTATTTAATTAGATAGACATAAAAATACCTAAAAATGCAGACATGGAGGCAACCATTAAATTGATAAAGAAAATTTATTTTTTTATTTCCTTAATGAGATGCGACTCTTTGCCATGTCTCGACACATTTTGTTGACATAATTTTTGCATAGCGAAGAGTTGATGAAGTTATTGGTTTATTTGTCTGTTCGTATACATGGCTGGGTTCTTTTCTATCCGATTGTTGAGCTGTTGTTGTAGGGTCGAAAATTCTTAGGGATATTTCATAGATGGCGTTACACGAGGAGGTGGGGGAGTAATGAGGCATAAAATAATATAATTCTTTGAAAATCAGAAACTTTCTCTTGTGAAGTATAAAGATTTCATGTAAAAATCTTTAAAATTTCCTATTGTTTTTCAAGTTGAGGTAAAATGTTGAATTTCTGAAGCTATGAAAGATTCTAACCTAAAAAATGCGCTTTAAAGCCTCAAACTACATTTCAACTTATATAACCTCATCTCATGTGCCAGCGCAGATACCGTGAAATAATTTTTTAAAGAACAAGATGCAAACCTAAAAATGAGAATAAGAATATCTCTTATTATCGAGCCACCAAGTCAAATTAAGAGATCAAATGATGCTGATAATGTCACCCGTGCAAAAAGTAGATCGTTTAAAATGTCATTTCAGCAAGAAATTCTCTGAATTGACTTTAAATTGTATCCCAAATTTCCTCAAAAATCTCTTATTAAATGACAATTTTGAATTAATTTAAAAAATCGCAAGAAAATTAAATTGGAAGCAAATATCACACAGGAAGTCGAATGTTTCTTGAATTAATGACAAGTAAAATGCATTTTTAATATCTTCAGCATCTGCTTGAGGATGCAATTTAGTTGTGTAAATTATGAGACCAAGATAATTTGTTCAAATAAAATTAGTTGATGATCAACTTCGTTAGGTGCGACTTGCTGATAATGCTTAAACTCATTCGCATGTGGCATGACAAAATAAATAAATTGGATGTATAGACAGTCGCATTCAAATTTGTATGGAACACAAGCAGTAAATTAAAGATTGACAAAATAAAATTCTTAATTTTTGCCACAGCCTTAAATTTTTTTGTCAGTTCTGTCAATTTAATTATTCTTTATGAATGTAAAAAATAAATCAAAATATTCAATTGTGATGACATTAAGTCTTGTGTCTTTTATGAAATTATTATTATTAAGTAGTTTGTGGTTCATTATTTGAAGCATCATTCATCCAACAATAAAATCACTCATTTCCTTCTTTTCATACATTTTTGGGGGTCATTCAGAAATAATGTCAATGATGTCAAGACTTAATTTAGACTTAAAGACACCTAGGAAGGTGCAGATATATTTTAAACGGAAAATTTGCAAACCCCTCTCCCCCACTCCTACAAAAAAAAAATTTCAATGCTCAAACTTTTTTGCCCCCCCCCCCTCCTCAAATTTCTGGCTACGCCACAGCTTCAGGGGTTCTTAAAAGATAATATTGAATATATTTGACCCAAGTTTTTTAAATGATCTTAAAATAAATTAAATTGGGGGGGGGGGGGGGTCACTGATTGGTTAGGCATTTGCCCCACTCTTCAAATTTCTGGCTACGCCACAGCTTCAGGGGTACTTAAAAGATAATATTGAATATATTTGACCCAAGTTTTTTAAAAACGATGTTAAAATAAATTAAATTGGGGGGGGGGGGGGGTCACTGATTGGTTAGGCATTTGCCAATTGCTAATCAGACCCCTGGACATTTGCGGTTGTCTGTAAATTTCTTATGAATATCCAAATGTCAATTAACATTCCCCCCTCCCTCCCTCGTCCCAAATATTCCACATCATTTTCGAACATACCCCTCTTGAAAATTGCCTGCAGTAAATATATTAAATAATGCTCGCTGACATCAAAACAGAGCATATGAAGAACGAAGATAAATATGGGCAGGGAAATTGACCCAATTATTTTTCATTTCAATTGTTCTTGTTCTCCTCGTCTTAATCGTTAATATTTTATTTCCATGCTGATGCGGGGTCGCCTTTTTGTGACATTTTTATATTTAAAAAAGACTTAAAACTTAATTGAAAAAAATGTCACAAATCAATCAACAGTGTAAGCAAGCTAATTCTGTCCATCTTGTATACATCATTGTTATTTCTACTGTTTTATTTTATTTTTAAATGCATAGCGTACATTGTTGATGGAAATTCTACACGACTTAGCTAATTTCATGAAAAAAGGCAAGCACAGCAGCAAGCTGTAAGCGATCAAGCGAATAAATTAATGAATGAAACATAAATATATAGCACAGAATATGAAGATGAAGAGGAAAAAAAATCATTCGTAAGTAGCTTGGGTTGGGTTTCTGTGGATCTTATAATATTTGTTTTGTTTCTTTTTTTCTCATTTTCTCTCGCTCTTGTATCTTGTAAAACAAACAATTATCATAAATTTGACGGCAAATAAAAGAGCGCGTTCAAGCATCTAGTTTTGCTTGACTTTTTGACTAATTGGTCTGAAATTTGTGGACTCTCTACAAATTTATATTCCTTGTTCGACTGTTGTTAAAGACTGAAAATTGCTTAGTTCATTATTAAATGATGATATTTATTCAATCAACCGTATGTTTTTTTGTGTTGCGTTGTGTCTCTATCTTTAACGTTAATACGTGTCGTATGTTTGTATGACGATTTATGTGATTAATAACAATAAGTTAAATGATTTTATTTTTATTGAAACTTTCATTTGAATTTATTAAGCTATAAAATGTTGGGTACCTTTGGATGATTTGATTGGAATTTCATGGAATTTCTGTGCAGAGTAGATGATTTGTAAAGTTTGAGGCCTATTTAAGAAGTTTTATCATTAAAATTCTTAATTTCAAAAATTGTTTGTTTACGTTTCCACCTCAACATTTTGAACTTCAATTATGATCAAACTAAACGTTTCTTGGTTAATAAAACGACTTAGAAGTACATAAAAAGTGTGAGCAAAGCCTTTAA